TAAGAAAGAAATTTAAAATATAGAAGAAATGATAAAGAAAAATTCAGAAATCCTGAGAGACTGAGAAAAAAATTCTATACTTCCCTTTAAAAGTATTGGGAATTTAAAAAAAAATATGATCAAATGTAGAACTGAGAACTCCATCTTCTCTCCATCACTGCTACATACCACAGCTGCTTCTTTTGCCTGTCAAGTTTGTAGTCACTAATGCTTATGTCCTGCTCTACTGTCTATTGGTTATCCACTTTTGTGGTAAAGACCTAGAAATAGCCCCTTTAACATCTGAAACACTAATACATCCAAAATTGAACCAATATTCTTCCAAACTCCTCTTACTAGTACCTCATTTTCCTAAGTTGCCCAGACTCAAACAGTGGCATTGCCCTTTCTTTCCCACTTCCCATTCACAATTCCATTAGTTGCCAAATGCTGTCATTTCAACCTGTGGATTTTGTATTTCAACTCCTGGAACACTGCAACCACCTTCAATCTGATCTTCCTATCTCCCATCTATTAATTCCTCACCATGGCCTTCAAGGTCCCTTATGATAGGACCCTGTTGCTACTTTTTTTTTTTTTTTTGAGACAGTCTCACTCTGTTGCCCTGGGTAGAGTGCCATGGCATCATAGCTAACAGCAACCTCAAATTCCAGGTCAAGCAACCCTCCTGCCTCAGCCTCCCGAGTAGCTGGGAGTACAGGTACCCTCCACACACCCAACTAGTTTTAGAGATGGAGTCTCAGTCTTGCTCAGGTGACTCCCAAGCTCAGGTGATCCACCCGCCTCAGCCTCCCAGAGTTAGCTTAAATTTTTTATAATCAAAATGCACACAATGAGCTTCCTCTCACCTGCCTTTTTTCTAGCCCCAAAGGCACCATAAAGGGAAAATCCCCCAGGTCCTGGCCAGGCTTGGAGCCTGGCCACGCCGCCGCCCCCTGGTGCCCATGCAGGGAAGTGTGGCTCTCACCACTCAACCACTCCCAGGTGTGTGAGCACAGGTCTGGGGACTCCAAGTCACTGATCACTTCTCCTGTGGTAGTGGCCCAGACTTGGAGGATCTGAGAGGTCTAGAATTCAGGCAAGGAAAACTGGGACGTTGCAGATCAAAAAGTAGACACCAGAGTATACAAGGCATTATTAATACTCAGAGGGGGGAAGAAAACAGTCCAAGCCAGGAACACTGATTCTTACTCATGGGTTTTGTAGAATTTGCACCACCCTGAAAGGTGCAGTCACAGACTCAAGCCCCAAGCATCCTTCCTGCACAAGGCCTGGCCCCTCTCAGCTCTCAGAGCTCCTTCTGTGCATTATCTGCAACCCCCAAATTGGACCTTCTGTGCTTCTTTTCATGGGCATATGAGGCACATGACTAGCCCAGCTCTCCTGCAGGGGGCCCAGGACAGAGGCTAGGCCCTGCCCAGGAGACTCTGGCCCCAGCTAGCTAGAGGGGCTTAAGCCCAGTGCTGGTGCCCGCTATTGTGGCTGCGCCACTTAAGTCACCAAGGTACACATTAGGATTAGGGGTATACACAACTTTCCAGGAGTAGTGTTCACTAGTTCAGTGTTCCCTGGTACCTCAAATCACAAGAATCAGCTGTAATTTTATTCTGGCCTTCTAGAAGAAAAATATAAGTCTAAAAGTCATACTATGTGAATATTTACCTTCTGAAGCAAATTTATTAGCCCCATTGGCCTCAGAACTGACTTAATTCAGTGTTTTCAGCAAATCTATAACTGAGAAAAGACTTTACAAGCTACAAAGAAGTAACGTAAACTGCCATTTCTGTCTTCACCTCTTAGACATGACAGTGCTACCTGTCATTATTAACTTCACATATTTAATCTGCATATTATTTTGCTATTATCTGTTTTTCACAGAGTAAAAGCTACCATGAGTCTGTGTGAATCAGAATTGCACGGAAAACCCAATTACTTAACAGGTACTTTTAAAAATTCTCTATTCTACTTTTTCCAGATGGGTAAAATGTGCTTTTGGCCTTCAGAGAGCTGTCCTTGCCCTGTGGGAGCCCTAGTGTATTCCTTGGAAACCCACTGGAGAGCTCATGGGTCCATGCTGCCAGGACAGAGGCTGGCACGGGGTCCCCTCTGTGCTTCCGAGGAACCTGAGTCACATCTTGCCCAGAACATCACGACCCTCATCTTCCACTCTAATCCCAACAGGAAGGAGCTGCGAAGAAAACAGCATGTTGGTGTTCAGGGCACAAACAGATGCCAGCCGCTGGGCCCAAGTTCCTGCCAGGGCCCCCTGCCTGTGCCTTGGGGGAGGCCCCAACCTCATCCTCGACCCCAGGGGGGCGGGAGGGTAAGTGGTGCCAGCTGCCTCTCTGCCCCAGCCCCTCCCTAGGTCACTGTGAGGTGAAGATAGGGGGCTTTGAAAAGAAAGATCAGATGGAAAATGGCCTCCATACTTTCTCCTCCAGCAAGCCTAACAAATAAACCTCAGACTCTGCAGAACTCTGTGGAGACTTCCTAGCAGATCCCAGCAGCTTCCCAGCTGGGAAGTCCTATTCATCCCATAGAACTGACCCCAGGGAACAGCTGTTGGGGGAAGGGAGAATACCTCTGGGCCGTGGTCCAGCTGCCAAGACCCTAGACTCACCCCTACCTGTCTCCTGAACCCTGAGTCACTTGTCCTCATACTGCACACCCTCCTCACTCCCCACCTCCTGACAGCCTCAGTCAGAGCCTCACCCACCCTGCTGGCTGCCCTAGCTGAGTATCACATATTCCTCTGCCCTGTGTTCACTGCCTCCTCATCATACCAACGACAGTCCTGATGCCGCGTGGTGTTATATTGTTCAACAACACAGCCTGGTCACAGGAACTGATAGAGATGGGGCCCTCTGCTTTTTATTTCAATAGAACTTGTCATGCCACACCAGCATTAGCAGTGACTGGTGTAGCACAGTTTGCACCCAACCAACATTAACAGTAACTGGTATGGCATAGTTTGCACTCCACTAGCACTAACTGTGACTGGTGTGGATGCTGTGCCTGTGCACAGGCCTCACAGAGAAACCTCGCTGCAGGTACAGGAGGCAGTGTGCTACTTCCTCCTCCTCCCTACAGATCCTCCCAACCCTGTTCTTGGGGGGCCAGGGGAATAAAGAGCATAATACCCAGGTGCTAGCACTTGGCAGTTGCCTCCTGGGGCCACTGAGCAGGCAAGGAGAGCCAGGGTAGCATGAGACCCGGCACATAGCAGTGGGCCAGTGTTCTTCTGATTTGATATTCTCCCTTAGAAACCCCGCCCAAGATGTAGGACCCACTGTCTCCTGCCGTTGTCTAAGGGGTACAATCTCTCTGCAGGAACAGAGAAGACGGGGAGCAGGAAAGATCACGCAGCTCCTCTGTAGTGAGGGGCCTGAGGGAGACACACACACTCCACAGCCACTGTCAGCTGCCAGGACCCACAAGGTGCTTGGACTGGGTGGTGGGAAAACATGGTAAGGGTATTGAGCTGAAGCTGCAGGCCAGCAAGAGTGACCTGCTGCCTATGCACCCCGCACCCCATGGCTCCTGCCTGTCTTACCCCAGTGTTCGGGGCACTTTCCATGCTGGAGGCACCGCCACATTCAGGAGTCTGCCCATCCCTCAGCCACCCAGCCAGCCACTCAGCACTTGTTCCAGCCGTGTGAGCAGGCCCTTGCTAGACATCCGCGAGGGCCAGGAGCTTCCTCTCAACCGCCACTACCCACAGGGGAGTATAGAGAAGCAGCTCCCTCAGCCCGGAGCCCAGTGTTTCCCTGTGGGGGGCTGCTCCACTGCGGCCGCGCACCTGCAGAGTGTACAGGTAACCCCAGATGGCCTGTGCCATCCAACATTCTCACTGGACACACCCATCAAGATGGAGAATGACTCTGAGGACACAGCAGATGGCTACACGCCCAGCCAGGCATGGCTAGGGACCAGTGACGTGGCCAAAAGCCACTTGGCCACTTTCCCTACCAGGATGCACCTGAAAACAGAGCCAGACTCCAGGTGCCTGGTGTATACACCACACCTGGGCCCCCGTCGGACCCCTGCTGGAGCTAGTGGGGGGGTGGTCCCTTTCTACCCCACATGCTGTGCCTGCCTGGAGCACATGCATGACTTGCCCCAGCAGGGGCCTCCCTGCCACCACAGTGTGCTGGGCCGAAGTGCACACCAAATCCCAGCTTGGGGCAGTACCTGCAAAGCTACTGGGGCCACCCTTGTGGTCAAGCGTGAGCCCCTAGACTCGCCCCAGTGGGCCACTCAGAGCCAGGGGGCAGTGCCCAGGGTGTTCCTCAAAGGTGCCCCCTGTGTTGCCCAGAGCCCCTGAAAGCAGCTTCCTGCAGTAGCGCTATAGCCCCTGTACACGTTCACAGCCACCCTAGCCCTTGGGGTGCCTCTGTACCATGGTGGAGCATCTGAGGGAGTCTGTGGTTTAGGGTTTTTTTTGTTTGTTTAGTTTTTTAATGAGACAAGTTCTCACTCTGTTGCATAGGTGTGAGGGCAGTGGCATGATTATAGCTCACTGCAGCCTCCTGTAGAGATCCTTCTGCCTCAGCTTCAGAGTAGCTGGGACTACAGGCACCACCACACCAGGCTAATCAGAGCCTTTTAAAAGGAACATTTCTCAATTTCTCAGGGTTGCACATGTACAGTCTTGTGCTCTGGGTGTGCAGCACATGCAATTGTATGTTCTGAATTTTATGGACGCAGTGGAAGTTCCTAAATGCCGTCTAATCTTTTTTTTTTGAGACAGAGCCTCAACTATTGCCCTTGAGAGTGTGTCATGGCATCACAGCTCCCAGCAACCTCCAACTCCTGGGCTTAAGTGATTTTCTTGCCTCAGCCTCCCAAGTAGCTGGGACTACAGGCACCTGCCACAATGCCCGGCTATTTTTGGTTGTAGTTGTCATTGTTGTTTGACAGGCCTGGGCTGGATTCAAACCTGCCAGCTCTGGTGTATGTGACAACTAGCCGAAATCACAAGGGCCTTTCAAAGGTGATCTTGGTGCTGTGCTGCCATGGGCATGAGATGTGCTGAAGGCCTCCACTTCCACTTTACCTGTTGCCTGAAGTCATAATAGCAGCAGCCACATGGGGACCAGCCCTCCATGGGCACCCCCCCCCAAGCGGGACCAGCCTCCCAAAGACTATCCCCATATAGGGACCAGCCTCCTGTGGGCATGAGGCTCCCATGGGGACCAGCCATCTGTATCCCACGCTTCCCCAAGCTAGTGCAGAGTCCCCCCTTTACCACTTCTCACACCAATCACAGCACACCTGTGCTCTCTGGGCATTTGTGAATTTAGTCCAATAGGCAAGGGTTCTAACTTCAGACTCTTCCTCCTTCCTGTTGGAACCAAGTGTCAAGCTCCTGATCACAGAAAGTCCTCCTCAGACCTGAGATGTGCTTCAGGAAGTTCTCAACAGCAGGTGAGGCTCCTAGAGTCCCTCCTGGGGGTGTGCCCACCCCCTTCCTCCTCAGCATCTTCTTTCAGCTGAAGCATCACCTGCATCCCTGAGAGTGGCCCTTGCCCTTCCTGTCTCAGCCATAGAGACGCACATGTGCTCGAGTATGGAGTAACATGTCACAAGTGTCCTGAACCCAGTGGGTGTAACTGGGAAAAACACCAGACTCAGAAGTCACCATCCAGAGACATCCTGGCATGTTTGCTGACTGTACCCAGACCCTCTGCATGCCAATAGGAGAGCCCTGGGAAGTTCTACCAAGTCCTGAGGAGTGCTGTTTTGAGGCTCAACTCAGCGCCTGGCATCACCTCTGCAGGTTTTGCATGCTGACTCGCCACCAGGCTGTGGTGTGTCCTGGGCCAGCACTGTGTCCTAGGTCCCTTCTTCGGTGGCAAAAAAAAAAATTCCCGAGTCAACACTTTTGTCATTTTATAACCATGACCCTCCTGAAAAGATCATGGAATGAAGAAGGTGCAAATGTGGTATTTTCTGTTATAAAATGTCATTATTAATACTAATTATAGGTTTATGTTTTACTTTTGCATGGAGCTTTTGCCTATATAGCTTAGAAAGTATTAAATATAATGTGGAAATGAGATGAAAGGCAGGAGGATAAACAAATTATATTTTTACAATTTCTACTAGAAAAAGTTTTCAATATCTACACTGACCTATTGCATTTTTCAAACTGATGCACTATAAATATAAGTTTTTCTACCATTTTCTTAGTGCCTTTCCAAAGAGCTGTCAAATGTATTTCTTATATAGTGGTTTGTATGAAATTTGTAACATGTATGTAAAATACACGACATGCTAATATGTGTTTGGTATAAATGGAAATGTCTACTTGATTTTCTAAATGAAGTTACTTTTATTTCCTTTAAGTGCATGTTGCTTAATTTGCATCCTAAGACAGCCCTTCACCACTAAATAGAAGGCAGTAATAAAAAGAAATAAACCCTCTAGAACCGAAAGCTCCTGGAAGATGAGGTAGCCGCCTGGCCACCTCCTTGCTTCAGACCCTCTCTAGGAGAGTCGGGCACCCATTCAGGTGCTCTCAGGACACCCTAGACCTGCTTTGTCCTGGAAGGGCTGAGGAAGGCAGAGCTGAGCACACTGGGAGTGCAGTGCACTTGGGCATATGGGAAGGGTGCAGGAGTCATCACCTGTGCAGAGTTCCCTCCTGGGCTTTAGGGAGTCTGAATTTGCTCCTGTGGTGGTGATGGCAACCTTGCCTTCTCAGCAAGCTGCAGGCCACTGTCACTAAACCTGTCCCAGTGATATCCTGGTAGCTGCCCTGAGAATCCCACGTCCTCCCAGAGAAGAACGGGTCAGCCCCCATCTGCTGGGCTAACCCAGTTGCTCATACCCTTGTGGCCCCTGCCTTGGCCTGAGCGGGTCCCCTCTCTTTCACCTCAATTCCATAGAGTTTCCTTATTTTCACTCCATCACGTGAATCTTCCATCCTGGTCTGGCTTCTGCTGAGATGTGTGGGGCCACGCATGTACATGGAGCTGGCACATGTTCACCAAGTGCTGCTTCATCCTCCTCCAAGCAGCAAGAGCATCTATGTAGGTTCACCTCCATTGCCTTTCTTCCTTTGGAAGCTGCCATTCTGTTTCTGTTTCTTTACTGGCTATCCTTAATGTGCACATTGACAAAGCCTGAGCTGGAGCTAATCCGGATTTCTATTCTCCCAGAACAAGGCTAGGATTTCAGATACTCCAGCACTCTCCCTGCTCCCCCATCAACACTTTGCTCCTGTTAAGGCTAAGAAGGGAGGAAGGGTTAAACTAAGGTGAAGTGCAAAACTAAGCTATGCATTCTCTTGGCCTTCCCACCCGCAGGGCTCTGGCAGAGCTGGGCAAACCTGGACATCCTCAGCACTCCAGAGTTGTTTGCTTGTTTCACTGATCCACCCTTTCACTGAAAATCTATTCTTTTTGAGCTTCTGAACTTGTACACAAGTCTCAGTACACCCCAACTACTGAGAGACAGCCTCGTTCTCCCTCTTGCTTGGATGTAAAATTCCAGCACCTCCTGACCCTCCAGCCCCCTACAACAGAGAGTGACCCTCTGCTTTTGCTCCTGATCATTTCCTTGCTGGCTATGAATCCCCTGTGCTATAGTCACCCAATATTACTATGTGTTCCATAGGAGGCTTTTCAATCATTTGGTCTGCCAAAAACAGAAGTCGAGAAAGATTTGTAATGTTTTGTTTCTTTTCAGTAGTAAAGAAAAATAACTAAATTTCTTTTAATACAGTAGCCTATCTCTAACCTGCATGGTTGAGGAACTCTAGGATCTCTGCATCCAAATTCAGTACCAGACATTTGACAGTATAAGGCTCTAGTCCATATTATTAAATGTTGCTATATTTTGAAGTAATTGTCCTAAAATATCTTTGCGGTTATAATTTTAAACATAATTTTTACTTTTTTAACACTATTTTCTTGCTCAACTTGTTGCTAATTTTCAGAAATTAGAAGGTAAAGCTAAAATAATAAAGCTAAGGGTCAGCCAACTGCTCCTTGTCAGCTGATCCCCAGTTGTGGCTTCCGCTAGTTTATGGGACAACAGGGGGCAGCTGGGGGCCCCACATCTCGACCTCCCTCTCCGCCACGTGTTCCTGGGTGTGTGTGACCGGCGGCCCAGCCCTGGGGCAGGGACTCCTCCCATCACCAGTCACTGGGCCCTGTGGGAAGGGGACTCCCCCAACCCCGCCCGCAGATCACTGGGCGCCGCCTCCTTGGGCAGCCGACTCCGCAGCCCCGCCCCTCCGGCCTGGTAGCCGGAAGAGGACGTGCCCGTGCGCTGTTCATTTCCGATCGCGGTCCTGGATGCTGGAACCGGTCTGACGGTGAGACGCCCCGGGCCATAGGCGGTGGTCGCCGTTCCCGATTTCTCTCCCTGTCTCTGGCTTCCGAGGTGTCGAGGGGGTCGCCAGGGAGGAGCAGAAGTTACTGGCCGAGCGGCCGCTGTGCCATTCGGGTCCCGGTACACACGGAACCTCTGAACCTGCGTCCTCCCCGGTGTCCCCTTCCCCGCTGTGCCGAGTCCCCCTCTCCCTTGTGCCCCCTTTTCTGTGTCCCCTTCCCTGTTTACTCCCTCCCTCCTGCCCCGTTCTCCTTTGAGTCCCACCTTCCCCGTGTACCCGTCTCTCTCCTGCCCTCCTCCCCCGTGATCCTCCTCCCTGCAGCCCGCGCTCGCGGCTTCCCCTTCGCCCCGTGTCCACACCGTGCCCATATCCCCCTTCCGCCCCTCCTCCTCCGTAGCCCCCCCCCCCGTTTTAGTTCCTGCCCTATGCCAATGTCCCCCTGGGTGGCAGAGGCCGACACTGCTGTGCCAGCGCTGGGCCCAGGCGGCCAGAACGGCCCCGGAAGGGGCTGAACGTGGGTGTGTTAATGGCCTGGGAGTCCCCTTTCGCTCCTGTGGCTGGAAATTGACCGTCCTTGGACCGGGATGGAAGCAGCTTTTCGTGTGTTCCTCACTCAGTCGGATTGTCCCCTCCCCCGCGTGTGAGTTGGGTCCCTTGTTCTGACTCCGAGGAGGGCAGTCGGCCCTGCGAGTTTTTCCTAGGAATATGGTTTTGCTGCATCTCCACCCAGAAAAGACAGTCTGAGAGCAGGCACTTGACTCCAGCCTCCAGACAGGTCAGAGGACCTTGCTGTGCAGGAGCAGAATGGTTGGACATCCCTTTCTTGATTGTGATCCGGCCTTCTCATCAAAATGTGAGGGGTTGTGTCAGTGGAAATGCTGAGAGTAACATGTCAGCAAAATAAGAGAGAAGAGCATGCAAGCAAAACACCACACATGCAGCACACAGTGGATGCCCCCCTAGGAATCAAACAACGAACTGAGGGAAAACTAGGCCTGTCAGAAGCAGCTGTCCTTGTATGGTGGGATTTACAGTAGTTGCCTCTGGCATCGTCGTCTTTTTCAGTCCTGTCCAGATTTTCTACATTGGGGTACATAATGTGATCACAGACAAAAAGAGGAAGGAAAGATGGTGGTTGCAGTACAGTTCCATTTGAAAGTGGAAATAGAGAGATGGTGCATAGACAGGGAGGAATTATTTTGCAGAAATCCACCAGGGGCAGTATTTTTCTGAAAGCATATAGGAATGGGGAAAAGTGAAAAATTTGAGAAGATGGGTCCTTTTGTACCTGTGAAAAACTGAATAGCTGAAGTCAAAGGGGATGAACAATTTTGAGTGCCCTCATTTGCCCGATGGCTCACCAAATAGCTCTCTTAGCCCCATGACTGGGGTCAAGATGAAGGCATTTGAACCAGGTCTGAGCATGTATGGTCTGTACACGGTACATGAGAAAAGTAGGACATATGAGACTTGGTCTCTAAAAATAGCTGGGTGTCATGGTGGGCACCTATAGTCCCACCTACTCGGGAGTCTGAGGCAAGAGAAACTTGAGCCCAAGAGTTTGAGGTTGCTATGAGCTATGATGCTATGACACTTTACTGAGGGCAACAAAATAATACTGTCTCAAAAAAAAAAAAATTAAAGTAGGACATGTACTTATTTTCCTAGGGCTAGTATACAAAATTCCATTTCCTTTTTTTTTAAATGTAAGTAGTGATTTTTGCTGGTAATCATAGGACTTGGGCCAGGACTTCAGCTGTGGTTGCCTCTGGGAGAGATGAGATGTGCGGTGTGCTAGTGTGTCTTGTCCTCACTGAGGATCCTGGTGTGGCTCTCCACAGGCATGGCCAAGGGGGAGGGGAAGGCTCCAGAAATGAGAAATTAGGCCTATCTAGGGGAGAGAAGTACCTTAGAGATTGACATCTGATGTAGTGAGTGGTCTGGGATATGAACAAATAGAGATATGCTCTATTTGTTCATATCCCTCATGCTGTGAAATGCCCCTACTTTTCCACTTAAAGGTAACCTCCCCATATTTGAGTTTTGGAGTTTTGCATATCTTATTAAGGAGTTCCTAATCCTGGTTCAGCTTTCTTTCAGGTGTACTGGATTAATGGTCTTCCCAAGTACTCTCGTACTTTTTTTATGATCAGCTGAGTGTTGAGGGGTGTGTGTGTACCTAGCATTCTCCTCCCATTTACATGTACACAGGATATCTCTAGCATGACAGGCACAGGGATTCCACCTGCTTTTTGACAATGAAGGAGACAGACCGTGAGGCTGTTGCGACAGCAGTCCAAAGGGTTGCTGGAATGCTTCAACGCCCAGACCAGCTGGACAAAGTGGAGCAGTATCGCAGAAGAGAGGCTCGGAAGAAGGCCTCTGTGGAGGCTAGATTAAAGGTAAGAGACCAGAGTGATCACCTCCCTCACTCTTAGGAAGAGCACAGCCATTTATCTTGAGTTTTGGGTTTCTGCTTGACATATTTGTGATGATTCTGCTAAATTAGACTTTGACATGGGAGGAGGCAGAGCTGAAATTTACTTTTACTTAGCTGTCCCTTTCAATAGTCTATTAGTAGTCAGAAGATGTACAAAGACAACTGTGGGACTTATGAGAACCCCAAAGAATAATCCTTTCAGCATTCTGAAAGTGTCCATCAGCTTTTTATTATTTTATTATCTATTTTAGAAATAGGGTCTTGCTCTGTCACCCAGGCTGGAGTGCAGTGGAGTCACAATAGCTCACTGTAGGCTTTAACTCCTGGGTTTCAAGATATCCTGCCTCAGGTTTCCAAGTCGCTGAGACTACAGGTGTATGCTACTATGTCCAGCTGATTTTCTTTTCTTTTCTTTTTTTTTTTTTAATTTGAGGCAGAGTCTTACTACATCACCATCGGTAGAGTACTGTGACATCACAGCTCCCAGCAACCTCAAACTCTTGGGCTTAAGCAATTCTCTTGCCTCAGCCTCCCAACTAGCTGGGACTACAGGTGCCTGTCACAACCCCTGGCTATTTTTTTCTGTTGTTGTTACAGTTGTCATTATTGTTATAGTTGACTTGGGCTGAGTTCGAACCCACCAGCCTCAGTGTATGTGGCTGGCCCCCTACCCACTGAGCTACGGGCACAG